TTTTTTCGCCAAATGGTCGAGGATGCTCCTCGAAGGTCCTCGCCGAGAAAAAAAATGCACACGTCCGAGCGATGCCAAGCTTGCCGCTCCCATGGCCAACACACCCCGCAGCAGCAATCATGCACCCCCAGGACGGAGCTTTTTCCTCGTGGGCCCGGAAGAAGACGGTTTCAAGTCAAGCACGGACGCGCTTCAGAGGGACGGTGGCGGATCCAATTCCGTTGGCGCGGATCCAATCGTGGCTCTGATGCGTGTTGAGGTGGGTCCAGCTTCTGTCTGCGCGGATCCGATTTCTGTTTTCGGTTTCCGCACCCCGCCCCCTTTTTTACAACGGGTCCGATTTTTTTTGGCGCGGATCCGATTTCGGTTTTTCAGACTCCGCACCCCGTCCCATTTTTCACGGCGGATCCGATTTCTGCCCTGTTCTTAATTTACAGGGTTCAAATGCATCAGGGAACCGGCCAACATCGGATCCAAGGACCCCAGGCCCGCCAGTAGTAAAATTCAACGGGGGAAGGGGGTTCGGTTATCAACTTCCCAGGATGGGTCCTGCGCTGTCTCGCGCGCGCCCATCTGCTCTCCGCGCGCGCGGGCCCCGCTCAACATGGATGCATCTCCCTCCTCCGGGTTGCTGAACAGAGCTGGTGCAGGCGCCGTCCTTTCGGCGGCGCCGATGTGCTCTCGCGAATTCCTCGTCGCCATTTTCGTCTCGAGAGGAAAACCGTTCGCCCTGCGCATGTAGTCATGGTTTCGGCCAGGCGCTTGCCTTTGGGGGCGGAAAACAGTTGGCGCATCGGAGGCGGTCTGAGCCATTATCATCGCTGTTCTGCACGCCGCCTCCGGCGCGTCGAGCACTGGCCCGCCTCTGGGTGTTTTTTGTTGCGTGCTTCCACCGAGCCCTCGACACCTCCGGGCAAGTTAGCGTGCGTGACGATATCCAGGTCTCCCAAGTCGGAGTTGTTTGGAAATGCCCATTCCTCGTGCGTCTCATCTCCCGTCGCATAGCTCCCTACTCGCTCCCTCCCTCCCTCCTCTCTCCTCGCTCCTCCACCCCTCCTCCTCCTCCTCAGACCTCCTTCTCTCCTCCAGCTCCCCTCCTGCTCGAAGTTAGGCCTAGGAGGTGCGCCCGAGCTTGGACCCGACCCCGCTGTTGAGCGGATGGGGGTCGACCTCATCCGAGGCCTTTCGCTATTTGGTTTCTCCTCCCGCGCTCAGGACGAAGGCCTGCGGCAGCGGGTCCTGGACAGCAGACGCCGCGAGGAGGCTGATCTCTCGGACGATGGCTTTTAATGCCCTTCTCTGGATGGGCGGGCTGTCTTTTGGATGCATGTTTAGTGTGGTGGCACCTTCAGCTGGCGTGAATCTTCTCTCCTTTTCTCCCGGCTGCCGGCTTCCTTCTCCCACCTCCCCCCGCCCCCCCCGCTTCTCTCTCTCTATCGCTCCTCGCCCTCCCTTCTCTCCTTCCCCCTCCTGCCCCCGATCGCCCGATCTGGGGCCCGCCCCGACCCGACCCGAACGCCCGAATTGAGCAGGCCCCGCCGGACCCGACCCGACCGCCCGACCCGACCTGTGGCGACGGCAGAAGATGACTTCAGCACCCCTGGCAGGGTCCAGACTGCCCTGCCCCGAAGCACTCTTCGCCTCCAACGCGGGCGGCATCCAGGTCCCGAGCAAAGGCCCGGCCACGATCCCCTTCGCGTCTAAGGGGCGCGGCATCTAGATCAGACTCTGTCCAGATACGCTCACGCCTCAGATGACGACATGCCCCTCGTCTGCATCCCCCTCCCCACCCCCTACCTCTCCTCTTCCTCCTCCTGCTCCTCCTGCCCCTCCTCCACCTCCCCTTGTCCTCCTCCTCGTCGTCGTCCTCCTCCAGCTCCTCCGCCTCCGCCCCTCCTTCTCCTCCTCCTCGTCCTCCACCCCCCGTCCGGCGGCGGCTCACAGGGAGGGGAGCGGCGAGTCCTCGCGCTGTACGCGCCCGCGGCGCCGTCCACCGAGGCGGACCTGGGCGGGCGGGAGCGGGGCGAGCGAGCGGACGGGCGTGCCGGTGGCGACCGCACGCGGGCGTGGCCAGCATGCTGGCTGCGGCGGAGCGGTCCCTCACAGGGACAGGCGGCGACAACGGATAATGATACCTGCCTGGGTGAAAGCTTCCGCGCGGGTCGCTCACATCTGGCAGATGACGACACACACACATATAATTATATACATACACATGTACACATGTATGTACACCTGTCTGTCTATCTATGCATGCACACGCACACTCACGCTCTAACCACGCGCGCTTAGGTTCTAGCGCGTTTTTGCACTCGACGTCAAGGCAGCTGCACATGTGTATGTGTACACATCTACGCATGTAATTAACATGCATGGCGACGACAGTGACAATGACATTCTCGGAGGACAGAAACGGATGGCCTCAACACATGCCCCGCTTGCCCTCCTCCTCCTCGTCCTCCTCCTGCTCCTCATGCTTATTGCTCCCCCTCTGTCTTCTCTTCTGCCTCCTCCTCGTGATCATCCCACTCCCGGGCCTCCTCCTCGTCGTCCTCCTCCTCCTCCTCCTCCTTCTAATCCCTCCTCCTCCTCCCCGCCTCATATTTGTCACTGTTCTGAAGCCTCTTTATCTAATTTTCCTGGGCCGCCCCGTCCCATCCCTCCTCTTCCTCGTCGTACTCGTCCTCATCCTCCTGTGTGCGGCTGATCTCTCCTCTTCCTCGTCGTACTCGTCCTCATCCTCCTGTGTGCGGCTGATCTGGACGCCCTACGGGGCCCTCTCGGAGGTCGCGTAGGCCCTCTCGAACACATTTTCGGACTCGCCTTGGTCGTCGTGAGATCCCCAGGACTGGGACCAACTACAAGGAAATTTCGAATGGCCTTTAGTGAAACCCGCCACCGAGCCTGGGTCGTAGGCTGGAGGCCAGTGTGGATTTTTTGCGGGGTCTCTTGGCAGGCCTCTCGGGGACCCCTTGGAACCATTTATGGGGCCTCTCGCGGGCGTTTTGCGGAACTTTCGGGCCCTGTTGGCGGCTTCTTGGAAGCCCCCTGGCGGCTCACGATGCGCCCCGAGCGGATCCCAAGAGGACCACCGAAAACGGCTCCGAGGTGTGAGCGTCCTTGGTTATCCTCACGCTTTCAGCGATATTAGCGTTCTTGCCTTTTCGGGCCCGGGGGGGGCGGGAGAGGGGGGGGGGAAAATTCTGGAAAAGTGCGCTGCCCCTTGTTGAGCAGGGGCCGACCGTCCATTCCTATAGGCCTACCACGAAACGTTCTTCGAACCCAGAAATGTTCGAAGAACAAAAGCAAGGTTCTTATACTATAAGCCCGATGTGATAAAACAAGACCAGACAGATTCTAAGAGCATTTCGTGCAGACCGCAACATATTCTTAGCACATTCCCTGGTCGGCCTATAGGCATGCTGGGACTCGTCACCACTGCTTAACCTTGGTCCGGGGGACTGGGCGCCCACGGTATGATGTACGTTTCGGGCGTTCGGGTAACGTCTTGGGCCTTAGGGCCTCGTGGAGGCTGCAGGACCTCATTGGGGCCTTCTGGAGCCGAGCGCGCTTCGGGAGTTCGGCTTAGGTCGGGCATGTCCCCTACAGGCGGTTTTTGGAGGACAAAACAATGATCATCACAGAATGCACGCGAATAGCACAACACAGTCGAAGCATCGTCCCCAGACTATTTTTCGGATTATCTTGGAACATTCCTCCTGTAGAGGGGCACGCCCGACTTTTAAATTATTCCTGGTGCCGCCTCCAGCACGCCGGAGAACCGCCCAACAAAGCTCCCCACACGACGCCCCCCGGCCAGCCCCCTCTCGCAGGCCCTCGGGAAGCCCCCGAAGCAGCCCCCAAGAGGCCCCCAGAAGGCTGGCCAGGCTGCGCCTTCTCGAGGCCCGAGAGGCCCATCGGAAGCGAGACGGCGCCAACTTCAGGAAACATGGGAGAACGACCACGGCAGAAGCTCGGGAAATCCTCCTTGGGCGTGGGCGCCTCCTTGGGCGCCCACGCCCGCGAGGCCGTGGGCGCCTCCTTGGAAATCCTGGGGGCACCGTGGGCTGGGGGGCACTTCTGGCAACACCCGAGAAGAGGGAGCCCGACGCGTTCTGGGACGCATTCTCCAGAGCACGCCACAGCAAGAGTTAGGTCAGGCCTGTGCCCTTACAGGAGGATTTTGGGCGACAAATGGAAATAGGGGCAAAACAAACCTACCTCGCTTTTGACCACCCTCGCTTCCAAGGGATACCAAGCGATGCCAAACCACGGCCTGTACTGGTCAGGCCGCTTGACGAGGAGGTGCGTGGTATGACTTGGTTTTGCCTGGAAGCGAAAGCGGGGTAGGTAATTCACGCTCTGATGAAACTACTCCAACCATACCTATACGACCACCCTGCGGGTGATAAGGAGGTTTTATTTTTTTATTTTTTTTTTTTTTTTTGGGGGGGGGGGGGCAGCAATGGGCAACAGTGGTGACTGTTTTTCTGACGATGCCTGTGGTGCGCATATCGATGTGCATGTCGATTTGCTTTTCGATATGCATCTCGATTTGCATGTCGACATATCGATGTGCATGTCGATTTGCTTTTCGATCTGCATCTCGATTTGCATGTCGCCTTGCATTGGAAAGCTCGCCGCAGGCGCCGATTTTTTTTAAATACGCAACCCACGGCGCCTTACGATTTGCATTTGGATGTGCATGTCGATTTGCATTACGATGTGCTTCTCGGTTTGCATGTCGGTTTGCATGTAGACTTGCATTGTGTAGCTCGCCGCAGCCACGGCGGGACACCAGCGGGACACTAGCGGGACACCGCGCGCCACTGGCCGCTGGAAGAGAATCATTTGGTCCGGCCGCGGCCCAACCACAGGACGATTTCGGGACACCAGCGGGACACTGGCGGGAAACCGCGAGCCACTGGCCGCTGGAGGAGAAACATTTGGTCCGGCCGCGGCCCAGCCACAGGAGGATTTCGGGACACCAGCGGGACACCGGCGGGACACCGCGGGCCACCGGCCGCTGGAGGAGAAACATTTGGTCCGGCCGCGGCCCAGCCTCAGGAGGATTTCCTCTCGCCCGCCCACGCAGCTTCCCAGCTTCGCCTCGCCCGCACGCACGCACGGCACGCACGACACGAACCCGAACCCGAAACCGATTTCCCGGTAGGGGGGGTCTCCGTTTCACCACGCACGACACGAACCCGAACCCGACACCGATTTCCAGGTAGGGGGGTCTCCATTTCACGTCGGACTCACCCCCCAACCTCCGACTCCAAACACGTCGGACTCACCCCCCAACCTCCGACTCCAAAAGTGCTCAAAAGTAGTCAAACGATCGTCCCCAGAGTTTTTTTTTTTTTTTTTTTTTTGTTTTAAAAAATACTATTTTGGAACATGCCCCCAGTAGAGGGACAAGCTCGACTTAAATCAAGAGAAACATGGGCCTTGTACGCAGGCACGGAGGGCGGCCGCAGGAGCAGACAGAACTCCATCAGGGAACAGTATGGACCGTCAGGTAGCGTCCTTGGCTTTGGGCCCTCTTGGAGGCTCGTCGGGCCTCCGGGAGACCCCTTCGCCGATTGGCCACCGGACCGGACCTGTCGTTCCACCAAGGGGATCGGTCGAGGGTCAAAACGGAACCCAGCGCGTTCGGAGACGCACTCTCCGGAGTCGCAAGCGAAAAGGCGAGGGCTGCAAAGACGCAAGGTTCGTCTTCGGAAATACAAGGTTGTGGGCCTCCTGAGGCTCTCTCGGAAGCAGCTTCGGGGGGCCTCTTGAGGACCTCTTTGACGGCCTCTCGGGCGCCTTTCTTGGCCTCTGGGCCGTCTTGGAGGCCTCTTGGGCTCTCCCAGGGCGCTCGTGGCCCGTCCGACGCCCTGGGGAGCCATTTTGGGGGACTCTCGTTGCGGTCGCGGGCTCTCGCTGGGCCCACTTCAAAGGCTCTTGGGCGTTGTTTGGGCCGTCGCGGGGCTTTGGGGCTCCTCTTGGAGCTCTCCGAAATCCTTCGGGCGCCTTCTAGAGGCCTGAGACGCCCTTCGGAAGCGAACAGGCGAGATCTTCAAACACGCCAATTAATTTCCTCATTTGTTTTCCAGATTTTTGGCTTCCTGGGGATCTCGTGGGAGCCGCTCGAGGGCCTCTCGGGTCGTCTGAGAAGCATCTTCGGAGCCTCTTGGGGGCCTTGGAAGCCATCTTGGGGCCATCTGAACCGTCGGGAGGCGTGGAGGGCCGTCTAGACGCTGTCCTGGCGAGGTCTTGCGTGGTCCCGGGGGTTTCGTGCACGTTGGTCTGGAAAAGATCCTTGGAGACGTCGGAACCAGACCCCCTTTTAACTTTTGAAGCGCCCAGAGAGCCGCCCGCCCCCAGCCCCTGTAACTGTGTGGAGGGTGCGAACCGACGGGCGCCCCCCCGTCCCTCAATAGAACCCTATTCGTGCTCGATCAAGGTCTCATCGAGCCCTACGATAGCTGGACCCAGCCACTTGAATCCCACTACAGCTCGATCCAACTCCCACGCAATCCTACTATAGCCGGATCCGGCATCCTACCCGGGCTCGATCCGTCTCCAATGCATTCTCACGATTGCTGGATCCAGCTCCATTTGAATCATACCTAGGCTCGATCCAGCTTTGATATAACCCTACTATATCTAGATGAAGCTCTGATTGAATCCTACTAAGTCTAGATCTAACTCAAATAGAATCGTCTTAGGGGTCGACATATGTATATATGTTTGTACCTATACGACCACCCTTCGGGTGATAAGGAGGTTCGGGGGGGGAACCGACGTCTCACTCAATCGGTCTCACTATCGGTCTCGCTCGATCGATCTCACTCGATCGATTTCACAATCGATCTCACTCGATCTATATCATTCGCTCGATCTCACAAGGGACCTGACTATCGATATCACAATCGTCATCACAATCGATCTCGCATTCGGTCTCACGATCGATCTCACTATCGATATCACAATCGATCTCACAATCAACGTCATCA